CAGTAAAACAGGCCTGGATGGCGAGGACAGGATGACAGGGTTAGGAGCGACAGTGTGAGGAATTATCTAGAATTCATTTTTCTCAGATCAGTGAGGCAAAGCGGAGTAACTATCCAAGAAGTCCGCAATTCGCATCCTGCGAAATCACTCGGAGAGACAGGACACCATCACTTTCGGAAACAGATAGTGGAAGATAGAGGAAAAATATAGACAGTAAGTGAACCTGAGTAATTACTAGAGAGACGCGAGGACCAGCAAGACCGAACAAAGAGAAATGAGCTTCAGGAACAGTGGGGAACTAATCCAAAGATTCAAAAGATTTCCAACCAAATGCCATCGTTTTGGTGAAGCCATGCCAGTTCGTAGATAATCAGCAATCAAGGGAGGCATAATTTAATCACCATCTCTTAAAAATGAGTGATTTATAAAAGCCAGTAATGTAAATTAGATTGGCTCCTCAACAGATATCTCCTCATGGCTCCAGAAGTACTGCACTTTAACTGGGTTCTTTGAAGAGGCTTTTGAAGAGCCTAACATCACAGCAATTCAGACGCTGATTGCAGGCCCCTCTTTCTGCTCATTCATGATTCTCATGCAAATATTTCAGATGCAGCGAAAATGCACACCTGACCTTACATATACATTTAAAAAAATCCCTCCACGCTCAACAACAAAGTTCACAACTCAATAAATTTGACTGAAGCTAAGAGAAACCAGTAAGATACTGTCTGCAGGATTTGTCATGTATGAGTTACTCACATGAGCCACTGAATCAAAACTGCGGATTTACAAAATCCACATTACTGGAGTTGTATTCCTTTACTGAACAGAATTACAAATAGTACTGGAGTTAATTGTGCTACTATATTCACGTACAATCACACTGAACAATAGAATTTCATTAGTTAATGAATAAATTCACATTCATTACAGTATCTGTAAACATTAGCTAATATTGCTGATCATTGTTACTTTACCTCAGTTCTATTATAAAGACAAATGCAACTTTTAAATTTACTAATGTATTTAAAAATGCTTCAAATGTAGTTTTCATTGTAAGTTATTAATGAATTAACACATGTATAAACAAATGGAAACTTATGGAGCACACAACTTAGCAGCAACCAGCTTGCGAAAAATACACATGGCCCCGTTTACACTAATACATACTAGTTTTAAAATGGCATTAGAATGAAAACAATCCACGTACACAATGGCGTTTCATCCAACATTTCTGAAAAGGTCTCTCCGTCCACACCACTGAAAACGCACATCACATGAACACACACACACAAACAAACTCAGTCATGCGCTGCAGCGTCTTAACCCAGTGAGCAGTGCACATCGAACTGTTTATCAAGGATGTACCACTGGATCGCGTCTCACTATAGTTGTTAAACGTGATAATTAGACTTCTCTCTGTCTCACCACTTTTATTGTATTTTAACAGCTGTGTTCAAAACCATTGTTTGAGCAAAAAACTACATTACCCATGTTGCTGTACTGAACATTCCATTAATCAGAGAGGCACAGCAAGAAAAGTGTATTAAGTGATTTCTAGCTCCACCCACATATAAAACACAGAAACAGAAGATATAATATAGATATAGGGCTGGAATGATAAACGATATTATATCGAACAGCGATAACATTTATGTCAATAACAATGATAAGCTCTGGATTTTTTAAGAGCCGATAATGGCCCATTTCCAATGAGTGGTACGGTACGGTGCGGTACAGTTTAATACACTTTAATGACCGTTTCCACTGTCAAAAGGCATATCGAATCGAACCAGAATGAAAACAAAGGAACTGCCATGTTTTAAATACACAGCCGAGAGATTACAGCATAATATATACATATAATAACGAGCCATGGTCGACCCGAGCTCAAACAAACCTTGTCATCATCTTGATGAACAGCCACAATACCAATAAAAAGAGCAGATTTACAGTGGACTATTTGACACTGTAATTGATCTGCATTTATAATCAAATCATGTTGATGGAAAAGTTAGTTATAAACATATATACAGAAGTATTTATGTGTATAAAGCGTCTGTTTTGTGAGAAGTGCTTCTCATATGATATGTGAACGAAAGATGATTTCTTGAGCGAAAATGACGTCGACTGAAACTTTCTGTCATACACCACGCCCACCAAAAGGGTACCCTTGGTAGTGGAAACGCAAGCCTGATAAAGGTGACCCGTACTGACCCGAACTGTACAGTACTGTACCAGTCAGTGGAAACAAGCCATTAAACCACAGAAATGTGCAACAATGGAAATCTAAAAGTGTGCTGATATTAGAGATGTATTGAATTTTCAGCAATGCTGGGCCAATGAACTATATTCTATCCAATTGCGATAACATTTATGTCAATAACAATGATAAACTCTGAACTTTTTTTACTTTATATTGATCTAAGAGCCAATCACACAGCAGAAATGTGCAACAATGGGAATCTAAAAGTGTTTTGCAAATAGAAATGTACTGAATTGTTGATAGGGCTGGGCAAATAAACAATATTATATTGAATCATGATAACATTTATGTCAATAACCATGATAAACTATGGACTTTTTTACTCTATATTGATCTAGGAGCCAATCACACTGCAAAAATGTGCAACAATGGAAATCTAAAAGTGTGTTGAGATGTACAAGATTTTTGGACACTAAAAATATATCGGCCAAAAATATATTATGCCATTTAATGGACCCTTAAATTTTTGTGGCTTCAGTAATTGTTAGGGGTATTCTTTTAAATCTGGAAGCCTAAACAACTTATATCGTAATATAAGATAAATATAAAATAATTATTGAGATTGCATTTTTGCCATATTGCCCAGCCCTAATAGGATATATATATATATATATATATATATATATATATATATATATATACACTTCAAAGAATACCATGTTTGTACACAGTGTACATTGGGTACTACAGATGGCAATTTAATGTCATCTAGCACTAACTCTCCCAGGACTGGTTACGCCAATGGCTTCCACCATGCATTCAGAATGTCTGTATTTACGACAGGATAAAGTAAGCATAAAATTCTACACAAAGACACAAGAGCAGTAATGTTATTGTAGGCCTAATATTTTCTGCACTCCTGTCAAGCTCAAGTTGCCAAACATAATTTGAAGCTGTGCAAACCTGAACTAAAGCACTATAATAACACATTAATAACACGTTAGAATAACACTATAGTAACACATTATTCATTTACATTACACTAGTATTCTCAGATTATTATCATTATGTAAAGTCTTATTTACTGTACCTAAAATCTTGAACCCTGTCCTGTGCACTGTTATTAGTTTTCAAAGCATGCACATTTTCTCACACCATCATGCAAAAAAGCTTATGTGATGTGTATACAACAATATTATCAATTTATTTATTGTGTTAATCTAAAACCATAGATAAATACATACATAGATACCATGTGTATATATTATACATATAGTATAGACATACGATTTTAGCTTTGGGTCACATGAATTGTGTAACGTGTAGGTGTACAGGCTCCTCAGCTCTGTAGCGCAAGTCTACTACTAGTTATAGCATTGCTTTCTCTTTATTAGTTACAGCATGCAGGGTTAATCGTCCCATCACTGATTCAAAAAGAAATATATCAATACATCAGCTTATAAACAGGATGTTGTGTAGAATTAAGTTTACTTTAGACATGTATTTGAGTCTTCATATATATAATAGTACAATTTAACTAATTCAACAGTCTTTCTCAAATATGTTCCACTATAGCCAAAATTATTCATATTCCATTTAAGCTGTTAGCGAAATCTTTATTTCAGGTATATATTTTTACAATAAATCCAACAAAAACAAGATGTGCAATCCACAATGTCAATTACATGTGACCATGGATCACCAAATCAGTCTTCAAAAATTTCCAAATATCATAGATAAATTAATACATAGATACCGTATTACTATATTAAACATATTTAGACACACGATTTTACCTTTGGGTAACATTTTAAAGTGTGTTTTGAGCTCAATTGTGACCAAAATACAACGTTGTGGAGACGTGCTGGGTCAAGGTAGGCAGTCGTGGTAGTTACCGGAGGGAGATACAACCTCTCAGGTTAGGAAACCCGGCACAAGTGCTATGCCCCTTTATGAGATATTGAAGCTACAGTCTCATATTCCTGCCAAATACAAACACGTCTCCTCACTCGGAAGGTCCCCGTCTCTAACAGATGAATGTAAAGCAATTTTTGGCACTGAGCCCGTGTGGCGTCTGCGTGCCGCACGCCGAAAAAATGTGTCAGTGTGCACAAAGGAATCTAATGGAAACTTCACGGAATGTGCATTGATGCAACGGCGCACCAGACATAGCAAATGTTACGCGCAACTAAAATGTCACGCTAAAACATGTGTTTGTTTCAGGATTAGCATTGATGTTTCGTATTTACAATGTCATTTCTACAATCTACGTTATCAACGCGTGCGATGTAACCATTAAAACACATTGTGTTAAATTGTAACATTGGCTAGTATGCAGCTAGACAGCCAGTGTTGTCTTCTGCATGCTCATTTCATTTGGCATCGCATACGTGTGCAAAAAAATGTTCGAGCATCATCATCATCATCATCGTTTGTCCAGAGAGTCGGTGACCAGTGAACTCTGCGATTCCATTAGCAACAACTGTAAGTTCCTAGTGATCAATACCGAGCAGGGACGCCGGGTCAACATTCTCAACATTCCTCCATATCACTGTGCATATGCAGAAATGACACCCGAGACTCTGCACTTTACAACGTGCCACATTTGCCCAGATGACAAAATGTCGTCGCATGCATTATGATTTATTGCATTTCAACATGCATTGGTAGTTTGAGCCTCGCCGGCATTTTATACTTTTTAAAGGTGTTTGCATATTTGTGAATAAGAGCGAGCGCTGTTTGTTGCATGGCATGCATTAGTCAAAGCATCAAAATAGAAATATTTTTTACTTACGATTTCAGAGGATTTTGGACCACTGTGGCCATTTTGATATAGAATGATACAATGTAAGACTGCAGATCCCCGGTATTGTACATGTAATATAGCAGCAATTTCAATTTCATTCATTCTCTGGGGCTGCGGCTGGATCGGTCAGCCAATGGGAGCGCGGCTGCCTGATGGTCAGTGCGGGGAAATGTAGTTTTTATTCCCTGAAGCAGTCGGGACTCGTCGGCGCGCGTGCTACAAATACCACAATGCACCGCGGTTAACTGTATTCTAGTCCCGCCTTGATTTTGTGTGGGTAAGCCAAAACATCTACTGTAAATTCAAGGTTGGATTGCTGGACTGTCTGTCAGTATTTTTTGTTGCCTCATGTTGGTAGCTTCTTTGATTCGCAGAGGAATAGTTTCAGAGTGATTGCAGCAAAATCAAGCCGTTCGTTCTTGTGTTGTATATTTCATCTTTGAGATTAGCAGATTTGGGTAGTCATTGGTCATTATTATTTTATTACACAGCATTTTTCTGCATGTGTGCTATGTTTAGTCAGATGCATGTATATTTGAATACACATTTTTTTCCATTGACTTCTGATGGGTTTTGTGCCTGGGCTAAATAGTATAGTATATTATAAATATACTATAAACAGTATATTTATATCTGAACCCTGATCAATCTTTTCTGCATCATTTATAACAATTATTTCACCAATTTATGTATTGATTTTATGGTAAAGCAGTTTTTCTCATATATACATATGGTTGTTACCAAATGAATAATTAATCCTACAATACTATACCAGCTGAAGAATCACGATACCAAGTAGTATTGTGATACTGTAATTTATATGTCAAATTGTCAAAAATAAAAGAAAATTGTCAAAAATACTATATTTTATGTTATAATAGGCCTACTTGAATTAAATTCATAATTACTTTAAAGCCAAAAAGTATTATTTGCACCTCACTAAGATATATTCATTCTTTTGGTTTATTTTGTAGATAAACTGACCAACAAGAATACATTAATATAAAGATACAAATGATACCAAATGAAATTTGTTACAAAAGTGCATTTTTTCCAACTAAATTAGGCTATATGAAGTGGTCCAAAATTCTTTACTATTTGCTATTTTGGGTTTCAGGTAACAATCCAAAGTAATTCAAAACGTCACTTTGTGAGATGTGTTTTTAAAGAGATTGTTGCAGTTGTTGTAGCTACTAAATTATATTAACAGGAACAGAAATGACTCGATGTGCGTTTGAGCTGAAGCGTGAGAAAACGTGCAATAGGCTACCATATAAGGCGCAAATTCTACTGTTTTGCAACCTTAAAGGGCTCCACAGACTATTAAAATAAAATGGTCTATTGTTCCACAAGCGTGTGAGCATTTTAGTGTCTCTACGACATGCAACATTATCTATTGTAGCTAAACCATTAATGACGATACTACCGTTGACAAACTACAGTGGCACCATTTTGAAGCCACAGTATCACGACACTACCATAGTACCAATAAACCGTGCAACCCTAATATATATAAATATATATTAATAATTTTTTTTATTATTATTTATTGAGGTTAAGTAGGTTTTTTATTCTCACATTCATTCAATATTGTTTACAACGCTAATTTGAATACTGGGTCTGAAATTACATATGACTTCAAAACAACATCAGCACTATTTACTTGACTGTGAACAATGCTGTACTTTGATAGTCATTGGCTGCTAAAATGATTTCGCCACTTAGAATTTGCAAATAATACTTTTCTGAAATTATATTATTAAGCAAAAAGTCAGAATGTGCAAGTATAAATCCAGCTTTACCCCAGTATATATGTATTTTGAGGCTGCTCGATATTGGAAAAATCTAACATTGCGATATTTTATATGAATACAATTTCAGCAGATGACTTAAATAGCTCTATTTGGAATGAAATCATTAACTTTGATTGAAATAATCTTGCAGAGGAGAGAATCAAAGATATTGCAAAAATAAATAAATAAGATAGAGCAAAGATAAAAGTGAAATAAGTAGTCAGATATCCAGGTATTACGATATGATACAACATTATCATGATGTTTTTCCCGATTGTGATAGATCACGATCAATATATCACAAGAAAACCATCCACAATATATCATGACATTAGTAAATGAAGTGGGAAAATGCATCAAAAAAGTTATTAGATGTATTTCTTTTATTAACATCACACACAGTTGAAGCCTGAATTATTAGGCCCCGTTTAAATTGTTTTTTATTTTTTCGTTTTTTAATATTTCACAAATGATGTTTAACAGAGCAAGAAAATTTTCATAGTATGTCTGATAATATTTTTTCTTCATATATTTTTTGATAGTCTACAGAACAAACCATCATTACACAATAACTTGCCTAATTTCCCTAACTTGCCTTAAACTAATGAACCAAGTTAAGTCTTTAAATGTCACTGTAAGCTGTATAGAAGTGCCTTGAAAATATCAAGTCAAATATTATTTTCTGTCATCATTGTAACGATAAAATAAATCAGTTATTGGAAATGAGTTATTAAAACTATTATGTTTAAAAATGTGTTGAAAAAATCTGCTCTCCGTTAAACAGAAATTGGGAAAAAATAAACGAGGGCGCTAATAATTCAAGCGGGCTAATATTTCTGAATTCAACTGTATATATGTAATGCAATGTAGTGCAAGTTAAAAATACAAATAATACACTTGAAATAAATGTGTAAAAAAGGAAAATTCCTTCACATTATTATAGTCAGTCCTTTAAGCCCTATTCTAACTGATAATTTCATAAAAGTCCAACATTCTGAATCTGCTTGTACATAGGGAAATACATTTTAACAGTGTGAAATACTTGTGGACAGTAACATTGAAGTTATTCTTCAATGTGAATTTTTCAATGGTGTACATTTGAATATTGTGACAAGAGGCCATTCTGACCTCTAAAAGAAATGGAAATGACTATAAAGGGCTCTTCAGTCCAGTTAAACTGCAATGGCGCCACTTTGAAGGCATTCTGTGACATGTGATATTTATAGATCCCTGCTAACAAATATTTAATGAACCTTAGCAAGCTCTATGGAAAGACTGAACACAAAAATGTCCTGTTGATTCATGAGGGATTTTCTGCAGAATACAAAATTTGCACTTTTTAAAGGGGATTTTAGATTCTAAATAATGCAATGCAAGAAATCATAAAACTAAAGCATCAGCAATATCCTCTCTTCTCCGATTGACATTGTAAAAAATACAAATTTTGTACAACATTATAAAAAAAAATATTTTCTATACAATAGGATTATTTGACAGGTTATTTTATTCAGACATGCCTTATTTTCCCTCTTAGTACAGAAAAAACTTGTGCACACACAAAGAAAATAGCCTCTAGAGGGCGTCACTATGCGTTCATTAATATACGATGAAGGCCCCTGGTAGAGCAGCAACGGCGCCCTCAAGAGTTCAGCTGGAAAATCACCTACCGCCAGCACTACTGTAGCAGCAGCAGTAAGTCCTGGGACAGTAGTCTAACTAGCTTAGACGGAGTTGTGATGGTTTTAAATCTTTGGCCATGTCTGAAATGCTGTTGAAAGACATGGATGAGATTTCTCTCGGGCCTGTTAAAATGGACGAGCAGAAGGAAAATGGACGGAGTTTTCTCCTGGTGGACGAAAACGAAAGCTTGCAGGTTTGTTTTTGTTAGCTTCCGAGTTAGCCATCAAGCTACTTGGTAAGCAGCACATGTCTTGGCTTTGTTGTTGTTATACACTTTGATTGGGTGTTTGTCAATTCACAAATAGGTCCATTGCGTATTATAAAAGGTGTAATGTAAAGAATAATCGGATGAGTAACGTTGAACTGTCAACATTATTGAAACACAGGAGAGAGCTGTCTTGACAACATTGTCACTGACATCTTTCTTCATCGATCATAATCAATAGTGCTTTTATTTTTAACTTTACAAAGTTGGTATTGCCATTAGTGTGTGGATATATCGTGTTATATTACATATTTTTGCACACGTCATGATGATATAAAGTACAGCTAATTAAGTAAAATAACAAGATATGGTGTAGTAATTCTCTGTTATATAGTCTTAATAATGAGTTAACAGTGAGAAGAGTGTAATTTCTTTCTGATAGTTTACAGCTGTTTTTGACCTGAAACCAGTTTTAAAATGATTATTTACTGACACTGAGAGATTGTTACTGTCTGTATTTATATTTATGGAGAGATATAAAAATAATGCTTCAATATGTACTCACTCACTCTTCATTATTTTGTTGTTTCAAACCCGTATGTCTTTCATTCTTTCCTCAGTGGAACACAAAAGCCAGGATGACTCATTCATCAGTCATGAATGATGACATAATTGAATTTATGGGTGAACTGTCCCTTTAAGTTTTTTTTTTTTTTTTTCAAATGAAGAAAGGCTGAATCCCTACAGATAGAAAACTTGCTAACTCATCCTGTTACAAAATACATTGACCCGAGAATTCCCACAGGGCAGATATTTTGATTATTAAGATGCATACATTTAGTATTTTAGATGTATCCAAATACTTCATTTGGAAGTGTTACAAATCAGTCAGCTGAACCATTATGGAGATAATAATATGCCAAAACAATCTAAATGTGAATAGTGTTCATTTGAATTATTGACGATTGTAATTTGATAAATCTAAATTTTTATATGCTGTTAAAAATGCTCAAAAACAGCCTCATGATCACGTCTGCAACTAGTAGTCTACACGTCAGTCTGTTTATAAACAAACTGCATAAAGTGAAACTCTCTCTTTGTGTATTTTTTGTGAACTATTTAATATATCTGCATAGTTGTCCAAATGAATGTCCTGTGAGTGATTTATAATGGATGCACACCAATACAGGAGGATCTAGCGAGGCGTGTTTCTGCCTCATGAGTCGTGACTAAATAAAGGGCGCCAATGTGATCGTGCACACCAACACGCAAAACGCCAGAAGTAAAAGTGTCAATTTAAAAAAAAAACGCCTCGTGCTCTTTTTTTTTTTTTTTTTTTCTTTGACGCCCCACTTTAAAACCTTCTCCACCAACCAGGTTTGCACTTTTGTTCACGTGCACAGAGCTGCTGAAATTACAGTAATCAGCACTTGGAGCGCAAAACTGTCAATGCGAGCACACATTAAAGAAGATGTTATGAATGTGGAGCTGCTTATTGCTCTGGTGAACAATAATCAATTTTTCATAGCTAGAGCTGGAGCTGCTACTTAAACCATCCATAACAACAAGGTGTCAACTTTGTCTTCTTCTATGTAACAAGCGGGTCAGATGCTTAAAGTTGTGTAGCGCCATCTAACATCAAGGAGTGATTTTGCATACTCTTCGGCTCGACGCCAGTCAAAATTGCTTGGGTTTGAATCTGGAAAAACGTCATGAAAAACGCTGATGATAAGCGCAAACGAAAAGCGTGCCGGTGTACGAGCCTTAAGTGTGTATTTTTCGCAAGCAGGTTTGCGTTCGCCGATGCTGGATCAGCATCGTGTTGTCTATTGGCCATCGGCGATGGACGATGGCATCGTCTATCGGCCCAACCCTATCTCATACAAACATTTTAGAAAAAATTTCAGACAGGTGGGCCTTCAAAAACTCATTTGTGCCCTGAAGTAGAAAAGGTTGAGAACCTCTGATCTAAACTACTCTTCCCTGTTGATCACCCCTGACCTACTTTCTGCTAAATCTGAATTTCATGATCTGAATTTCTGGTTTTTAATTTTAGGATATTGAATTTGATGTTCTGAATTTCATCTTGAAAACTTGAAACAGTATTTTTGCAAACTGGATATTTGCAGTCTAGGAATTCAGAACACACACACAAAAAAAATGAAGTTTGAAAATATAAAAATTCAGTTTTCTTACATTTCAAATGTTCATTATTCAAGTTCTGAAATTCAAATTCAAATAAAGAAATTCAAATTCAATAATTTTTTAATGGCGTAAAATACAGATTTGTTAAATTACAATTGTCAATAATTCAAATTAATTTGACATATTATTAGCTCCATAAACCACTATTTTGCACAGTATGGATATGTAGGTATGTAGACATTTTTGTGATCTTCTGTAACTGTTTAACACTGATCACAAATATTCAGATTATATATCTTATTATTTTTTGGATACTTTGTGTAAGAGTACGTCATATATTGTTGTTCTATTTTTATATACTTAGAAAGCTTTGGTAATAATTTTGTTATACCAGTAAACTGTTGAACATAAGTATAGTAATAGATGGAGATAATAGAAAGTGGCAGAGAACACAGACCAACAAAGATATCGAGTAACAAATAGAGACATTGATAAATAGAAGGAGGTGTTTTGGTGGGAGGGTAGATATGTAAATAAATGGATAGATAGAAATACAGACAAAATTGACAAACGTTTTGACACGTTAACATTTTCATGCACAAGATCTTTAATGACATCTTAATCGGTTGGGTTTAATATTGAATTGGGCCACACTTCGCACTGATGCTGGATGACAATGCTTGGCACACAGTCTCCTCTCTAAATCTTCTCAGAGGGGTTTTATCAGATTGAGGTCAGGACTCTGTGCAGGCCAGTCAAGTGTTTCCACACCAAACTCGCTTGTTCATATATATGTATGGACCTTGTTTTGTGCACTGGTGCTCAGTTAAGGAACAGAAAGGTGCAATAACAAAACTGTTCTCACTAAGTTGGTAGGCTGAAATTGTCTGTAATGTTTTGGTATGCTGAAGCATTAAGAGTTACTTTAACTAGAATTAAGGGCCAAACCCAAACCATAATTTCCCTCCACCAAAGTTTACCTTTGGCTCAATGCAGTCAGGCAAGTACTGTTCTTCTGGCAACCTCCAAAAGTAGACTCATCCATCTGATTGTCGGACAGAGTAGCTTGATTGGTCACTCCAGAGAACATGTCTTTACTGCTCTAGGGTCAGTAGTGATGTCCTTTACCCCACAGCATCTCACACTTGTAATCTTGAATGTGCAAGGCTCGAATTTGCAGACATTTTGGTCACCTATGCACCTGAAATGCAATCTATGCGGCCTCAAAATATGCTTGGGAGCATTCATGAGAGTGCATATAATTGTTATAGTGCAGCCTGCTTTCATTCCTCTAAAATGTTTTCCGCTGTGTGCTAATGCCAGGCTGATGAAACTTGTCTTAGGTTGATATTAGCTGTCAATCACTCAGTCACTGCTTTCTGATGTCAGATGACTGGTAGACTGTGCAAAGGATTGAAGAAGAGGGAATGAAAAGAACAGGTTTGTAAACCACCTAAAGTTACAAATGGTACAGGTGGTGCTAATCATGTGGTGAATGTTGATCCACCAGCCAAAAGAGCACAGAGTTTTCAGAGTGTGCTTGAAAGATTTGGAGTGGTTGTGCTAAAAATGGTTCTGCATTCACTGTGCGTTCAGTGCAAATGGCAGCTAAATGCAGTTTAATGCTGCATACATCATCACTAAGGAAGCTTGCCTTTATTACTGTTTTAACTCACACTGCAGTTCATGAAAAAGAAGAGCAGTGCACAGACTTAGGGTGTCTATTGGGAGAAGCAGGAGAATCTACGGTAAGCCGAGCATGCACACGCTCGTGCACTATTTATTAAACGCAAGCGTGTGTGTGCAGGTTGTTGCGATGAACACAAACCTAAACTTATAAAATGGTGGAATTGTTTTCTTTTGTTTCATTTTCTTTTCTTTCATTCTTGAGATGCATACTATTTTTCCATGTATTGAATGATGACTCAGTGCTTCCCACAGAATTAAAATAGACTTGCCGTGGTAGCTGGATTTACACACACCATTTACCCACATGACATAAAAAGTTGACTATTTGCGACAAACAAAACATAATTTCATTTAGCAATAATTTAACTCATTATGGCACTGTTACTGTATACACTGTTTCTTTCCAATGGATTAAAGTAAAAAAAAAAGACTTGAGATAAAAAAAGTAATCCACTATTTCTCTTACTTTTATACTATTCAGGAGCCATGTGCACCCACTCAAATCTAGTCAAATCTGCTTCTCTCTGTCTCTCTCTTTCAACTTCAAAGTCAACTCGAGTGCCAAAGCATTTTAGATATGTATAAAAAATGGCTTATGTAATATATTAACATCATCAAATTAATAAAATAATCAGCAAATATGAAATAAATGACAGAAAAAGGAATAAAAACAGACAATGTACCTAAAAAACATTTTAATTACAAGATTAAAACGTGTAAATTATTTAACCAGTTAACCAGTACTAATGGTGTACATATATTTTGCAGCCAATTTCGTCCTCTTTGAGTATATAGTAAAGTTTTAAAAAAAAATTATTTGATGTTGCTCTCGCAACTGTGTGTGTGCAGTCAGCTGTGAAGCCAAGCGAAAATAGGCTTAAGTAAAAAGGTAATACAAAAATGCATACAAGCATTAGAAAGCAAAAGTTGAATCCCTGATTTCCTGGACATTTTAGGAGGTTTAGCAATTCAGGCCTGACTCATTTTTTAGGTCCCATAAAGGCGCATCTCTGTGGGTCTGCAGTGCATGTGAGACTGTCTGTCTGTGGGAGTGTTGACAGGTCTCGCACACACAGAACGAAACAGGTAAACAAGAGAAGATTTTCCACTAAATTGATCGCGGATGATTGGTTGTATTGGGCAGATACAAAAAAATAATTAAAAATTGATGTTAATAATAGTTAAAAAATAAAATAAAAAGTGTCACCAAATAAACTTGGGTGGCTGTTAATATACATGGGTGGCCTGGGCCTGCCCAAGTAAAGTTTATGTGTGGAAAGCACTAAAGAAAAAAGCCACTTTCAGTTTTGAATGAGTTTTTTTATGATATTACATTTGCATAGTTATAGTGCATAGTTAATATTTGTTAATCTTGTTGGACTTTTTGTAGCAGAAAACTTGCATATTAAATATGTGGCAGCATAGAGATACGGATGGATGGATGGATGAGTAGGTAGATAGATAGATAGATAGATAGATAGATAGATAGATAGATAGATAGATAGATAGATAGATAGATAGATAGATAGATAGATAGATAGATAGATAGATAGATAGATAGATAGATAGATAGATAGATAGATAGATAGATAGATAGATAGATAGATAGATAGATAGATAGATAGATAGGTAGGTAGATAGATAGACAACATATAGGTGATGGATAGACAACATTGAGAGAGAACGATTGAAACGTAGATAGATAGAGACACAGAGAGATGATCTGATCTTGATTTCTCTCATACTCTCTCAGGTGAAAAATGAAGCTCATTTTCTGCAGAAGCTGGGCTGCAGTGGCGCTCAGGGAGTGAAAGTGGTTTCCATCTTTGGCAACACGGGCGACGGCAAGTCCCACACTCTCAACCACGTCCTTTTTGACCGCGAGGAGGTTTTTGCCACGTCTCCCTCTCCATCCTCCTGCACTGTGGGTGTCTGGGCTGCTTATGACCCACAGCTGAACCTGATTGTGCTGGACACTGAAGGCCTACTCGGGGCCGCCACTCAGCAGAATCGCCGAATGCGTCTGCTGCTCAAGGTCCTGGCCGTATCAGACGTGGTCATTTACCGCACACGGGCCGAGAGGCTGCACAATGACATGTTCCAGTTCCTCGGCAGTGCATCCGCCGCTTACCTAAAGCACTTCACACCTGAGCTCCGGGCGCTGTCGAGCCGATGTGGGCTAGACGTGCCTCTCTCCAGCCTTGGACCCGCCATCATTGTTTTCCAGGAGACGTCCCGCACTCAGCTGCTGGGCCAGGGTGAGTCAGAACAAGTGCTGTTTACAAGGTCTGCAGTGTTTATCCATATGAACACAGCATTTTCTGATACATGTTGTTGCCAAAGGCTGTTGTACGATTAGCCTGGGGCGTAGAGATTGGTGCTTTAACTTGGGTCTGCACATCAACCTCATGGGGCCCAAACACATAGACAGGGGGGTCTTTGAAGAAGTCTTGAATTTTAGACTGCTGTAGAGTCCCACAGGATAAACATGAGCTGTCAGTTAAAGCAATGGCTGCATTTCAAACTCAATTGTTCACTCTTTTATTTTTGTCTGCTTAGTGATGAGAATTTTAATTTGTTTCTGTGTTTCTAATCAAAAATGTGTGGGCTAATAGATAATAATGTTTGCTCATTTTTATATACTATTTAAATTTTAAATGATTTAATATGTATGCATGATACAGATATTATGCATGCATACTAACACTTAAAAGCATAATTATTGTGTTTTCCAATAAACGTTGAAGTACATTTTAAACTGTGTTGATCTCATTGAGGAAATAGCCCTATTAAAAGTTAAAGTAGTTTGACAGGAATGTTTTTTTAAATGATTATTTTAACTATAGCTCATTTTAATGCATATAGTTCATTCATATTCACTTATGCATTATTAAATGCATATTTTTTTCTGTGATTTTACAGATTTTAAAATTATATATTAGGGATGCTCCAATCAGGATATTTGCAGCCAATACCGAGCCCTGATACCTTGTCATGGTGATCGGCCGATACTGAGATTTGATTCTGATGCTTCAAGCTTTATAATGCGTAAAGCACATTTTCCCCTCTAAGTATGATACTTAAGTGGACATCTCTCCTTATCTAAGAGTATAAATGAAGGATGCTGCATATAATCCCTTAAGCACGTCTCTTTTAACCATTTAGGCCGCATTTACACTGCATTGTTCAAGTGACTCAATTCCAATTTTTTTTCTCCCATGTGGCACAGATCGGATATGGGCCATGTATGTGTAAACAGGAACAAATCACATGGATTCCGATTTACTCAAATCAGATTCAGGCCTTGTTCATATGTGGAAATTTATCTGTTATAAATTGGATCTGTTTTCTCGTTTCTGCAGTGTAAGCTGGTAGATTGGATTTTCACCTGTCAATGCGAGCCGCGCGTCATTAAAAACCATAATCAGGGCTTAACGATAAGGACTGCCCGATGACCCGGGGCCAGTGTGAGAGATGCTTGGGACAGTAGACAGGATCATTACTGGCCCGATTGGGGCCACCTTTTTGTTAAATAATTTCGAACTGAAATAAAATACCTATATTTTCCATACTGCTCTTTTTGTTTTGTTAACACATAATTTTGCTCATTATACATATATTGACATTTTAAAAGTATTATTTAAATAATTTTTAACATTTAAATAATTATAGGCATTATTTTTGACACATTATTTAAAATATGTGGCTAAAAATAGCTATTAAATTGTATTTTTTCTTTGATGGGGCCAGTGGAAATTTTGGTCGTGCAAGTAAAAATCTAAACCATTGGCCCGATCGGACCAGTGGAAAAAATCCTTTGCTTTAAACCCTGATAATGAATGACAATGAAAAGTCTGATATTTTCCTAAACTCGTACAAGCAAACTGTACAAGGCCCGGGTAATTAATCATCAACAAGCAAAACAACTCCATTCGGACAGCGAACTACACCTGTACGACACGGTATGTGAACTTACACATAGGGGTAAAGTTGGTTTTAGATTTGCACATTCATACTTTCTCCGTAATAATATAATTTCATAAAAGTTTTATTTGCAAACTCTAAATAGCGAAATCATATTAGCAGCCAAGGACTGTCAAAGTACAACATTGTTCACAGTCAAATAAACAGTGTTAATGTTGTTTTCACTTCACACTTGCAGTTTATTTTACACCGAATATACAACGTGCCATGGTAAACAATATAGGGAGTGTGTCACTGTCACAAGCTGTCACAGAATGTATGTGTGAATGTAAAACCAAGTTTACCTTAATTACTTAAACTTTCACGTTTCATTTTTAGCATTCAGTGTCTGCAGTTTAATTAACCATATGTAACTGTTTTTGCTGAAATCATTGCTGCAATCAAAAAAAGAGTAATGCGTTTGATTCTGAACTTACCTGATATAACACGAGAACTGCAAAGTCCAGCATTTTTAATTAGGTCATCAATTCCTTCAGCTCCCTTTTAGCCAAAGACGTCTGCGGTTGGCATTAAAAGCAGTGTGTTGTACGGGTAATGTTAAGTTTTCTATTTTTGGACTTTCAAATTTGGCATCCTATTGCACAACATGACATGTTTACTATTCCCAGAGGACTCTTTTTGCAACCGGGAGCTCGTGTGACATCATGTGTGACAAAGGTTGGTAATTCTTCTATAGGAAGCCAGTGTAGTTGTTGAAGTACAGGAGTAATGTGGTGGTGTGATGATCTGTGTGTCAGAACCCATGCAACAGAATTTTAAATATACTGTAATCTTCGGAGACAACTTTTAATTTTAATTTTATATAGTCTTTTGCAATATTTAATTATGAAATAAACAGTCACTTAATAAAAAGTGGCAATAAAAGTCACTTTGTTAAACCAAAGAGTTACATTTTCTGAATCAAAAGCTGAAAAAAAAACAAGTGTAAATAACTAAAACATTTGAAGATTTTGCATTCTATTGCATTTTGCAGTTTTATTTTCAATTGTGTAGACCACTTTTCAACATTTTCAAGTATAATGTGAAAGCAGCATGAATACAAAACAATAAAGATATACAAGATGTGATGCAGCATTTTATTTCTTCTCATTGCATGTATAAACGCTTACTATACAGTAAAATATTTGATTTGGTCACATTTTCAAAGGCCACAAAAAGTACTTTTTGTCATTTCTCCGACAGAATTGAAAACATTAAAAGCAGCACAATGGTTAATCAGCTTGTTATCTAACCCAGATTTCAGGTAAATCCCAAAGGCAATGACTCAGGTGCTGTAGACATCACAATACAGCTTAACAACAGTGATGCCCTTGGGCAAAACCCCCTGTTTTCATGCTGTAAATCCTCCTTCACGAAAAGAATTGTAAAATCACATAAGCTGTTAACGCTCCTAAAACTGTCGTTCATCTTTTTTTATTTTGAAATGATTGAATTAGTGTCATCTGAAGAGGTGTGCCAGGCTTCTAAAATGTGTGTTTTGATGTCTTCCAGACGTCTCAGGCCTCGGGCAGGCAGACACGCTGCTGCAGAAGCGCTTTCATGACCTGGGCCAGAGCACAGACGCCTTCAGTTCGGTTCAGTATGTGGGCACACAGACCATCACTCCCCCCACAGACTACTCACAGCTACAGCACACGGTCCAGCAGCAAGTCAGCAACACATCTCAGAGAGCCCCGCGCCAGCCTGCCATTGTGTTCAGTGCACTGCAGGTATACGTGTGTTTTTGTAAGAGTGGCCTCAAAAACATTTTAGACACTTAAAGGGGGTAGTTCACTTTAAAAGAAAAATGTACTCATCATTTTTCAAGTGATTCCAAAGCTGTCTTTTTTTCCTCTGTTGAACCCAAAAGAAGATATTTAGAAAAATGTTAGAAAGCAATGACCATTGGCATCTATAGTATGAAAAGATATTGTTCATTCATTCATTTATGAATTTTTCATTCCCTTATTTATCAAGGGTTGCCACAGCGGAATGAACTGCCAACTAATCCAGCATATGTTTTTACGCAGTGGATAGCTTTGTTGGGAAACACACACACTCATACACTATGGCCAATTTAGTTCATCCAAATCATCTATAGTGCATGTTATTGACGAAAATGAAGAGCGAAGTGGGGGGGTTCGTAGCGGACGAAAGTGAAAACTGTGTGATGGTGGGGTGTCCAGTTGACGAAATGCGTGGGCCCTTAGAATCGTCCTAACTCAACACCCTCTCTCCCCAGTGGCAAACTCCATACAGAAATGCCAATTGGCCTGAACCAGCCACCTTCTTGCTTTGAGGTGACAGTGCTAACCACTGAGCCACCGTGATAATATATCAATGAAAGTTAAATGCTACTGGTAAGTTAGGGGTGGGGATTGATCTTAACTTCAAAAATATTAACTGTTACGAAACCAAAAAGGCCAATATATACTTCTGCATCAAGAGCACATGGTAGGTTGGAGGAAGCTTTCGCACAGTCGCATACCCTGCCTCGCACCTCTCAAAAAATTTAACTACAATGCCGATTGCGTAAAAAGTCTGCTAGGTGCCAGTGACGTGAGGGTTTAACAAAATTCGACTCCAACTGAGAAGCTCTGGATGGATATTTTTGATTTTGTGTTAATCTTATGATTAAAGTTGTTAAACATTCACCAATTCCCACCTCATTCTTTGTTGAATTTCCTGCACATTTTATCAGTAAAGCCAGTTCTAGTAAACCTCCTGTACATGCGTTTAGTCGGAGCAGAATCTGTCAACAATGACATCAAGATAATCGTTCTGCGACTATAGTGATTTAAAACACTTAGGTCACATGACCAAAGTGATACAAAACACCCTGGTCATGTGACTAAAGCAATGCAAAGCATTGGTCATTTCAGAACCGTTTTGAGACCTGGCGAATCTGCATTTGCATGTTGCTTCATATGAAAATTTGTTTCAAATTCCCGACCAACTTAACAAGGGGGCGAAGCCAAGAGCTCCCGCTTTGTGTTTGGCAACAGGCAGACAGAGAGAAGCAGCATGAGTGAAGGGACATTCAACTGTACATGTACGACTGGGACACAGACCAAGCAAAGACTACAAAATCATTTGTGTCTTTGTATAGTTTTACAGCCAACTGTGTGCTAGTTTAAAGATCCCAGCTTGTACACTAAGACTAATAACCACGCACACTGAATTAACTTTGACCGAAGCACCAGATGCACCTCTCACAGCCACGACTCGGCACGCCAGACACCATCATGTGTGGAATGAGAGCGATTATGTGGTAAATGTTAATCTTATGTTGAGCCCAATGAGCCTTACATCTAAAAATCCAGCAACGGTGTTCCTTAGGTGACATAGCTTTGACTCACACACTGAAAATGGCGGATGTGAAACAACAAACTGAGCATATGGTAATGCACGCCTTTCAATCAATATTGGTGGGTGGGAGGGCCGCACTCCTACATCAAGTTGCGGTTGATCTAAAAACTTCTCTAATTGGTCCACCGTTTTTATGTTGTTAAATTGAAAAAAGGGACTTTGTGTGTTTATATCACCCCAATATGACAGTCCATACACTATACCTACACACATGTCTGTCCAAACAGCTTGAAAAGTAGATTTTTCACCATAGGCGCCCTTTAAGCAACTGCTATTTTCCCCAGGGGATTTCCTGGGGTTCTTCATGTTTATTTGGACAGGTTTTTTGTGGGTGTCCCAGTGAGAGAGCCCTCTGGCCTTCGGAGGAGATTTACTACAAATCACTTTGTGCTTCCTTGAGAAACTTTGCTCAACAATCGCAGCTTTGGTCCCGTTTGCGAGATCAGTTGGATAAATCGCAGAAGTGAAAATTGGGCTTAAGTAGGAGCATAATGTTGAGGACATTTTTATGCCTGTGGATGAAAACTATACAAATTACGATGTTTATTACTTAATAAAATTTCAGAGTCATTTTAATTAAAAGACAGGGTGAGGTCTTAAGAGAGAATTTTAGTTTTATTGTACTTAGAGGGCATCAGTGGCACAGTGGATAGCACAATTGCCTCACAGCAAGAAGGTTGTTGGTTCGAGCCCCGGCTGGGTCAATTGGCATTTCTGTGGAGTTTGCATGTTCCCCTCGTGTTGACGTGGGTTTTCTTAGGGTGCTCCAGTTTCCCCCACAAGTCCAAAGACATGCTCTATAGGTGAATTGGGTAAGCTAAATTGTCTGAAATGTATGTGTGTGAATGAGAGTGTATGGGTGTTTCCCAGTAATGGGTTGCAGCTGGAAGGGCATGCTCTGTGTAAAACATATGCTGAATAAGTTGGTGGTTCATTCCACTGTGCTGACTTCAAATTTAAAAAAGCGACTAAGCCGAAAGGAAAATAAATGAATGAATGTACTTCTTAGACTGAAAAAAGAAATATGTAATGTTTACATTTTATACATTTAGCAATTGCTTTTAATATAAATTGCAGTTAATAATATTATTAATAATACGTTATTTGGCTTAAAAGTGTTAAATATCAATCCTGGATTTTATCGTGACTAATCATGGGGGTTTGGAGAGCATAAATCACAAAATCTTAGTGTTAAACCTGTTCTGCTTATACATGTTAATGGTTAGAACAGTAAAAATAGTATTTGCTTTTAAAAGTAAAAAAAAAAAAAAAAAAAAGAGTATTAATATTTGCGATACTGGCCCTGTATTTGTTTGCTATTGGATCAATACAAAATTTTTGCAGTTTCTCCTAGCCCTACCTGAAGTGTCTAGAAATGTTTTTGGGGGTCTGTGTTTGCATGTATGTGTTGAGGGTGGTCCACCGAGCATGTCTGTGAGTGTCGCTTCACTGCTCTGCTCTCTCACGCAGGCCCTGAGCGACAGGTTCTGCGGAGAGATCTCAGATGACAAATTCAGCATATGCTCCTTCTTTCCTGATGAATATTTCACTTGCCCATCAGTCTGTCTCAGCTGCAAGTAAGTCCACAAAGGCTTCATGTTCCACGTCATAAATGGACTTTCCATTTTTTAAGGCGAGACACTACAGGCAAAAGCAAACAGATTTTTGGGTTTGTATAAAGTGTTTTGTTCAGTCTAGTATAAAAAAAAAAAAAAAAAATTTAAAAACACTTTTAAAATAGGCCTGCACAATATTTTCAGGGTATGTCTTAAAAAGTCTTAAAATGTCTTAAATCTCAAAAGCTAAATTTTAGGCCTTAAAAAATCTTAAATCTACTGAAATGTTATGTTGCAGGTCTTAAATGTTTTTTTAACAGGTCCTAATTAGCCTTTTCTTCATTTATATTAACACCCATACAATCACCAACAATCCCAATTTCAATAAAACTTTTAGCTTTTTATATAAAAATTGCATTTAATTACTTTCCTTACAGTAACATTTGCTTCTCCATTTATTTATTGATGAGGAAACTGACCTGACCTATATTTTTTATTAAATGAATATTATTGTAGACTGAATTAATTGACAGCTATGTTTTGTTCTATTCTTGGTAAGGGTTATGGGATTTGTGAATAGATATATTTGAAAATTACTATTAATAACTATTATTATTGTATTATTAAATGTAATAAATTGTAATCATTTTTTGATAGGCAAGTAAAATCTTTTTTTACTGGGATATTTGAAAAAATCCTTAGCGTTTAGCTTTGAATAAGTCTAAAATTTCTTTCAAAATGCTCTTAAAAATTTGTTAAATAGGCTTGAATTTAACTAAGTAAGCATATACAATATACATATTGCAGATAGTGGTTGTTTGTTATTGGTTGTTTACCAATTAGATGGGGCAATACTATCTTTAACCTCACCTCCCCAGTTGTTTCTGTTCTATTATTGGCTGAAGTGGCCAAAGGATGAACCCTGAGCTGAAAATAAATATTTATCGTGGGAGTCGTGACAAGAGAGAGGAATATCATAGATATTTACATTAGATGTCACCTACCCTGTTGTTGTCTGTTGGAAGCAATGTGTTAATAGAGCCTCTATTTTAGAACAGGGTAGCGCTCCTTTGAAATGAATGTTGGACCAAGGTGTAGTGGAGGACTGGCCACCCGGAGCTATGGATACTTAAACATTTATACATATATCTATGATTGTGAGTTTTCCTGGTGGTCAGTATGCAAATATTTTACTAAATTCAGAAAATGATCATTTTAGATCAGTTTTATTGATGACAAAGAGTGTGTGTTTGTGTATATAGAAATATATTATCCTCTATTCTGCTTTCACTTCTAATTCTAACGGACGGTGCAATTCGTTTGTGAATGGATCTCCATTTGCATATCTCAATGTGCATATCCACCTTTCTGATCTAAATGGTATATAAATCTGTATTATTTAATTATTTAGAGTGGACAGCACTGTTATGTTATCAGACACCTTTGTAAGTTACTTCAAAAACCAGCTGTTACTTCATTTAGCCGATAATAATAATAATAATAATAAATAATTTCTAGCAACACAGCATCTTGTTGTCGTATTTCTATCAGTTTAGTGCAAGTTGGTGCTACTTTGCCTTATGGTCAATGCAGTAAGTGACTATATTATTATCAATAACTTAACTTGTTTTGCACAACAGATCATAGCATACTGAATCGTAAAAAACTAAATCTTACCTATGAAATGTTCTGCCTTTGTGCTTAGTTTTCATTGTTTGCTCGTTATTGCATCCGTACGCAACACAAAAGCTGAGCTTCTTCAGATTGGCTTTAGTCTTGACCAGTGGTGTAAAGTAACAAATTACAAATACTCAAATTACTGTAATTGAGTAGTTTTTCTCAGAAATTGTAATTTAATGAGTTTAAAAAGTGCCTACTTTTACTTTTAATTGAGTACATTTTTTGTGCAGTATTGGTTATCTAACGGCGCTGTTTTTAATTAACCTGCCTTCGCTACTTTATTTTTATTTCTTTATTATTTCTCTATGGTGATGGGCTCAGTCCCGTGATTCCGACCAATCAAATCACGCATAAAAAAAAACACACGCAGACTGACCTCAAGACACCTGCTAGCACCACATTTGTAGATCAATCATGGAGTATGGAGAGACTGTTGTGGAAGGGTTACTATGCGTCAGCACAAATACAGGAATTCAGCATCCCTGGTCGTACCTGAAGATGATTTTTGAAGTTAAGGAAAAGAAGGGCAATTGTGTCATCATGTCGTGCCAACTTTGTCTGCCCAGACAAGTTGAAATCTCAGCCTTCAAGAATTCTACATCTAATTTGAAGAAACACATTGAGGTAAGTTTCGAGTATGTTCCAATGTGTTAAATGCTACAAAAAATGTAAACCGAAATACGTAACGTTAAACGCATGGATGCTTTATAGATACTGCAAATTTATAATGTGGGAGCCCTTTCAAGATGAAATTCCTAACATTAACATTCATTAAAATTAACTTACACACTACAAACGAGAGACTGTTTAGATTATCACTGATGAGTATGACTACTGACTACGGCAAATTGCCTTAATATTGTTATTGCATTTAGGAATGTCACGTTTTCAAATATACAGTAGGTGAGAGTTCAAAGTGGCTATTAACGCCGCGGCTGGTACCGCCGCCGTTTGAAATAGGTGCCGCTCTGTTTTTAGTGTATGACCGCAGTTTGTGAATGAGCCGCCAGGGGGCGCAAAGGGACGGGATGCGAACGGACAGAAATAGCCCATACAGCTACTGTGCTTGTAAATGATATTAAACAATAAGTCAAAGCATTATAATTCCTTCATTAATCATTTAAAATTTGTTAACACGCTTTATTGTAAACTTTTTAAGTGCAAAGAGGATTCGTTTTGGAAAATAGAATTGAAGAAGTAAAAGACAACTAAAATGAAAGCACAAACATTTAGTACAAATAAGTAGTCTTAAATAAATAAATTAATTAATTAATAAATAAATCAATAAATAAAGCAGCCTAAATATAGAAAGATGTTCAGTGTTTGCTATTTTGATAGGACTAAGACAAGACATTTTCATTTATGTTTCATTTCTGTTTTTATTTCCATTTTCGTTGTTGATTATATTTTACTATCTCATTTATGTCTCAACAATTGTACATAAACGAATAATGAAAATAAATGAATAATGAAAATAGGCCTAAATAAATTATTTATTTAAAGACATTGCCGTACAGTACGTGAAACACTGAGAAAAATAAATTGACCTACCTTAAGCAGATCACTAAAAGTGTAATAAAAATATTTTTGCCGCAGGACATAAATTAAGTCTTGCAGGTTTATTTTTAATAATTTAGTTTCAGTTCTGTTCAGTTTTTTTTTTTCAAAACGTCAATGTTCTCCTTTAAAGTAGCTATAACTGTTGTTTTTTTTTTTTTTTTACTTATGGCTCAGTATGTTTTGTATTTTAACTTCATATTCAGTCACCTTGCAAATGTGTGTGAAATATAATGTCGCATAACCGCGGAAAAAGAAGAAAAAGCTGTCAAAGGTTAGAGCTAATTCATCAAAATAAGCTATATTAAAATACAGCATTTATGTTAATACAGGCAGAGTGTGAACAAACTCAAGGCTAAGATATGCGCTTGCCTTTTAATGCATTTGCGGCCTTTAGGCTACAGGCAACACATTATGTTATTGATGTAAACTTAGGCTAAAACTTACCATTGATAAACGTGACCTACCTCAAGCAGATCACTTAAAGTATAAAAAAAATAAAGTAGGCTATATATATATATATTTTCTTAATAAACTTCACAGCCACAAATATAAAAAACACAACTTGTATTAAAACTGGGCGAGGATAAGAAAGAATACGATGCTTGTTATATATAATTTAAATTTTGATTCCAATTTCTGCAAGCACATTTTTTCACTCGCTACTCTGCCAGAAACTTCGCCGCCGGAGAGCACCTCAATAATGTAAACATTTGTTTAAAGATGGAGCGCAAGATGTGCCGAGTGGCAACATGTGAAGAAACTAAGTTATAAAGCAGAGTCCCGACCAACAGGACTAAGCATATGCGGTTGGCTCATTCTTCACGAATATAGAATTAAAATAATGGCGCGTTAGGTTCACTAAGCAGCGCATTCTCTCCGCCTCATCGTTTAACCAGCGGGACACGCTGCTGAAGCAGGAGAGACACTCCGTCATTCATAATCTTAGCTGATGTATCGGAGTCGAAAGAATATATCAAAAAGGAATTTTCTTTTAACAGTCCCGATATGTTTAATCTTTTTATTATTTTTTTTCGTGTCATTTCTCTTCAGCAAATTAGATATTTTTTAAAGCTGCTTGATTCTTTTAAAACCGAAAGCAGAGCCCGTGGTGTTTTTCCATAAGATAGCCTACTCCTTTATGAATGTTTTAATTTTTTATTAAAGTCTTTAATGTGCTTTTTGATAGTTTTATTTCATTTCAAGCAGCATCTAAATGCGAATTTATCCTCAAAACTTGGCATGAGAGCGATGCAAGTCATGTGTGGCATAATTGCCTTTTTTCCCTGCGCGTGCGAGATCAATTTCTGATCTTTTTGCAACTAAAATGAAAGCATAAACATTCAGTACAAATAAGTAGTCTTAAATAAATAAATAAATAAATAAATAAATAAATAAATAAATAAATAAATAAAGCAGTCTTTTAACCTAAATATAGAGAGATGTTCAGTGTTTGCTATTTTGACAGGACTAAGACAAGACATTTTCATTTATGTTTTTATTTCTGTTTTTACTTACATTTTCGTTGTTGATTATAGTTTACTATCTCATTTTATGTCTCAACAATTGTAGATAATAATAAACGAATAATGAAAATTAATGAATAATGAAAATAGGCCTAGATATATTATTTATTTAAAGACATTGCCGACATTGAGCTTAAGTTGAATGCAGCTTCATCAAAAGTAAAAATAAATAAATAAATTGACCTATTTTAAGCAGATTATAATAAAAATATTTTTGCGCAGGACATAAATTAAGTCTAGCAGGTTTATTTTTTTAAT